CTCTATATATACATTCTGAGAATGTTTACATTGCAGCTTTGGTATTAATGCTAATACTGTCCAGTTCCATACCTTAACACACACACACTAATCTTTTTTACCTTTAATAATCAAAATGTGATTGGGTAAGAAAGATTAGAGAAAAAAAAATTCAAAAACAAACCATTATTATTCTAAAAGAAATTAATTACATCATCGTTTAGTAGCGTTTGTTTCCTCCTCTTGCCTTCACTACTTCTTGAAGACGCCTCGGCATACTTTCCACCAGTCAGGAAATGTCCCTTTGCTGGAGGATAGCCCATTCCTCCCGAAGAGCCCTTTCAAGGTCTTGCAGTGTATCAGGAAGTGTTGCACGCGCTCTTATTAGTCTTCCGAGGTTATCCCATAAATCCTCACCTCGAATTTCTTCGAGCTGATGAATCGCTTGAACAATGGTAAGGTGACGGTTTCGTAAAATTCTCAAAGTCAAAAACCGGTCATTCCGTGGTTCTGTTACCCTAGGCCGTCCAGAACCGGGCCTTCTATTGTAAGAACCAGTTTCCCGAAAACGCCTGACGGCGTCTCATAAAGTTTCATATCTAATTAGCTGCATATCTAATGGAACGTCCATCATCAATAAGTGCCACACCACACGCAACATCCTTAGCACTAAGAGACATTTTTAAACTTAATATTGAAAAAATTAAAAGCCGGAGACTAAGAAATGTGATGCAAGAAACGGCACTGAACTAATGATACTGAATAAACATTTTGATTCCATAGAAAGTAAACATTGGAATCTAGAATCATTTCATTGAATTAAGGATTAAGGGTTATTGTCCTCTATATTAACATTCCTAATTGAAAACAAACAAAAAGATTACCTATTTATTCATTAAAAACAATAGACTAATCTAAAGCAGAAATATTTTTAGATGAAAACATGAAAAAATCAAGTGGGTGGAATTTTTTGCCTGTCAGTGTATTTGTTCTTTATTTTCATTTTGGGGCCAATTTGTGTTTAACGTTAATTTTTAGAGGGTTAAAATTTGTTTTCTTAGTTGATTATGAACATTAATTATTAAAAATAGCGAACCAAAAAGAATGGGAAATTCTAAAAAAAATATAGACAACTTTTTACAACATTGTGAAAAAAATTATTTACCTCAATCCGCAGATTTGGCAAGACCTTTGGAAGCAGAAATAATACAGAATTTTTTTTTTCATGAAAAAACATGATGAATATATTTGTTTTTAAGTAAATAAAGAGATATTCTTGTATTCATCATGTAAGTATTTTTTATGTTGTAATCAGTTTCTGTCTTTATTTGACCTTACCATGATTCTTTGGTTATGCAGACCTATTCCTATTCTTCATATATTATAACTGATCTAGCATGTTAGGTATTATTACCGTCTGAAACCTATAATTTTCAATGCAAGAAAGTAATATTCTACAACTCAGATTAGTCACAAAACGACAGTAGATGCAAAGAGTGGAATATTGAAAGAAAAAAAATTGAAGCAACTGTGTTGAAGATTTAAGAAGGTGCAAATTTCCTTAACTAAAATTTTTAAAAATGTTTGCTTCTTTCATTCGCTCTGAAAAAATCTGGTAAACATAAAACATCAAAACAGATAGCAACAACAATAAAAACACAAGGAACATCTCTTTACTTTCCTGTTTATAATTACAATTATGAGAGTAAAATTCTTCTGATACAATGAACTAGTTTACCTCATTGAGGGTTTCCTTAAAATGTAAGACCTGTGATTATTAATAATAAATTACTAATGATTATTGAATTAAGATTAATCGTAAAATGGTTATTTCAATACTGAAGCTCAATCTTAATAAAAATAACCATAACTACCTCAGGATGAAGAGGAATATCATCCAAAGTACGCTAACAACAGAGGAACTAAATTGAGTCATATTAAAAGCTTAATTTATTCCACAATAAAATAAAGTAATCAGTATTACCTCATAAACAGGATTTCTCATCTCTGCCTAAAATAATATGCACCAACAGATATGAATGTAGTTTTTAAAAAAATATCAGAAATATAAAGTACTTTATTATTAACTACAAATTGTTTAAAAAAAATATAGTTATTATAGTCAATTAAACAGAAACATAAAAATATAGCTGATCTAAGTCATGAATTAGGAAAATTTTTATTTGTTGGATGTAGTCTTTAAAAATACTCTTGACTACAAAGATGATTAACAACTATTAAAATATAATAACCATGGACCCAGCTAAAATGTTCAATACCTATAATAATAGCATGATTAATGAAATAAGATGTATTGGAAAAAAATCAAATTACAATAAGTGAAACACCTCATTATTATCTATGATTATTCTGTTTGAGGAATCTCATTACATTAGGAATAGCTTTTTTCAACACAATGCACTAGATAATGATGAATTTTACTCTCAAATATGCAGTTAAATGAGCTTTGAAAACTTTAAATTGCTCTTCTAAAAAATCTGGTGCAGCGTGCATATCACACAACTAAAACTTACCATCTTACTTTAATTAAATATTAAAGGGAACTAATCCACAATACTTAGCTTTATAGGTTTGAAAGTAAATAGATATCTCTATTCTATAAAATAGTAATAACTGTGTTATGTATTAAAAGTTATAGGAACTAAATATGTATCATTTTACACATTTTTTAAAGACTTGATTTTTCCATAGTAAATTTTAACAAAATTGAAATTATTTTTTACCATTGATTTAATTTGTGTCACTAACCAAATTTTACATAGTTCAACATTTTATGAAACTCCAAATATTGCTATAATATTTATACTAAAATCCATCCACCAGAAATCCACACATCCCATCCTGATCATGAGATGTCTGGGAGTACCTTAAAATATTTATAACAGGTAATATAAATATAACTTTATTTATAAACCAAAATGTTTATACATTTGATTCTTTGGAATGACAAAGATCCACACACACTAAAAAAGTGTTTTAATGTGAAAAGGTTCAATATGACTTCTGCATACACTTGCTACAAGTCAAATAACAAAGTTCTAAAACACCGAAATTCCAACTGATGTGAATCTGTCAATATATACAATAGGCAAAAAAAATATTAGTACTTTCCATTTTTTTGCCAAAATGGTTCACTATAATTCTTCAACTTGATATAATGGCAGATATCAATTACAAACTTTATTTTGTGTTAATTTTATGTAGTGGCAAATTTAAAAACTCATACAACTTTTATAACATTAATATTTCAATAATTTATAAACAAAATAAGTATTCGTACACTAGAGCAAGTATGAATGATACAATAACTTTTGTTAATAAAAAGAGTATTTTAACATTCTGTTTATAATCCTTTACTCCTGAGAATTAAATGATAAAATAGCACAAGAAATTTTATGGTTCAGTTTAGTACAAAGGAATATTTCTTTGGCAATGGATCGTAGGTCCAAAGAATTCAGTTTTCATCATAAAGATGACATGAAATTGTACGTACAGTGACAAAAAATCCAAAATTAAGTGCTCGAGAGGTTTCGCGTCAGCTTATAGGGATTCTTTAACACCCCAAACCATGAGGAATCGACTACATAACGCTGGCTATATAGGTAGAGCAGTAAGAAAAAAACCTTGTATAATCGGAAAAGAAAGATAGGAGTTTGCCTGAGGAGAACATGTAAATAAACCCTACACGTTTTGGGAAAATGTGTTATTTTCGGATGAAATAAAGTACAAAATATTTGGAGCTGACAGAAACAAGTATGTTTGGGGATAAAAGGAAAAGGCATTCGAACCCCAAAATCTACAACCCACAGTGAAGCACGGAGGGGGCAATGTCATGGTTTGGGGCTGTAAGAGTACCAAAAGAGTTGGTGAAGTAGTCTTTATTGATGGGATTATGAATTCTGACAAATATGTGTTGTGATACAATTTAAATAAAAGTGAAAGTTAGGGCACATATATGTTTCAACAGGACACCGATCCCAAGCACACATCCAAGAATCTCAAAACACCTTCACAATCACTGGATCTTAATCCAAATGAAATTTTATGGGCGCTGCTTGAATTCAAAATCTGAAAATATTCTTGTTCCTCTCGGAATGACTTAATGAACAATTTTAAAAAACCTTAGGAAGAAACTGCACCAGAAAACAAGAGGCTTATGGAATCGATGCCAGAAAGACTCAATACTGTGATAAATGCGAAATGGTACCCTACAAAATATTAAAATTAATGGAGACTGATATATATTATATTTCCTTTGGATTAGATAAATGTATGAATATTTTTTTTGTGCTTCATATTTCAAAATTTTGATATTTTTCATACAATACGAGTTATAAAAGTTTACTTTTTGTACAATTAATACAAAATGAAATTTTTGATTGTTATTAATAGTTGCTTTATGTTGAAAACCTAAATAAAAAGATTTTTGACTAAAAAAATAAGGTGTATGCATACTTTTCTTTAAATGCAGATACTGCAACATCAATTTACAAAAAAACATAAAGTGTCAGTTGGAACCTTATCAAATCCTGAAGTAAATTTAATTTCAACAATATTTTATTAATTATATCTGTATTTCTATGTAGAGATGGGCAAATGCTACTCTTCGTACCAAGTATTTCACTCAAATACTGAATTTTTTTTAATACTACAGAATTTAATTACAACTCATGATTGAATTCAAAATAGTGATTCAAATTGGGTAAAATACTTGGTATTCGGTACTCAGAGTAGCATTTGCCCATCTCTGTCATGAGGCCCATTTAAGACTGATTCATTCAATTGTTTTTATTGGAAAAGTGACCTAACGAAACCTGTCAGAAACACAGCTACCTATAGTATTCCATATACAAAGAGTTCATGTGATCTTGGCCACCTATTATCCAGACATGACACAACTAGCTTTACCTAAATTATGTATGACTATGCTGAAACATAATTTTATTGAGATGTTACTGGATTCAACAAAATTTTAATCAACTTAAAAGACATTATCTCACCTGCTCAACTTGAGTTGTTTGGGCATCAATTAAAGGAGAAGGTGGTTCAGGTATAGACTCAGTGATGTTTTGATTCTGTTTTAAAATGTCATCAGATTTTGCAATTGTCGCATCAGTACTCTGAAAGTTTTGAGATGTGATGGATGAGAATCCTAGAAGTATTTTACGCTTCCAAATGTCGTGATTTTTAAATGGTGGCAATGCATTGCTTCTAGCACATATATGATAAGCAGAACTATTTCCCTAAAATAATTCAAAATCAGGTTATTTATAAACATGACACAGAAACAAGGAAAGAACATATACACTCCTAACCTTTGTGAACAAATCAACAGAACATATCTTTTGTTTTCTCAGAATCCTTAAGGTTGAATACATTTTTATCTATCACCGGTTTATCTGGTGTATTTTAAATTTCCACCACAAAACAAAGTAACCTGATTGATTGTAATAGGTTATTATTCTAATCCAAAGAAGAAAATTGTTGAATGAAGTAAGATATTTTTATGTTAATTAGGTAAACCGAATATTTTATTTTAAATCGCCATACAATATTAAACTTGTTCAAAAAAGTTATATATACCATCACTGGGTATGGGCCGCCTCTAAAAGTCAATTGACTTGGTCCTTTGGTTCAACTGTTCAGTTACGGATCTGTAGGAGGTCCCTCGATTCAGCAGACACTTCCTCTAACCACTATGCACTTCACCTGACATCAGTAGTTGAGAATCCTGGAATCATCCATTCGAGAGATTTGGCCAGCCGAGCATAACTTTCCAATCTTAATGAATTTAACCTCATCCATCACCCTGAAGAGTTCGTAAGTTTCAGATCTTTCTTCAGCATCAGACAACCCTATTTCTGCCATTCCCTGGCATTTTGCAGATTCCCTGTCGGGAAGAAACCTCTTTCTCGTCGAGCCTGCTAGCACCTCCCTCGTGTACTAATTCGGCAGAACAACAATCCCTAGAGGAACCAATGAAGCTAGTTGGATTTCAACAACATGTCGATTTATTGTAAATGGTCGCAAATTAGAATTTTTATAGAGTTAATCTTTTAATCTAACATGATTAAAAAGGACAATGATGGGTATTATAGTTTTTAATACCCAGTTAAATACAGTCATCATCAACTGCAAGTGAAATGAAATATCTTCGAAGGGTAGCCGATTGAACAAGAAGAGACCGGACCAGAAATGAAAATAAAAAGAGAAAATCTAGGCACTGTATCACTAAAGGATTCTATAGAAATGAGGTAGCTAAGACGGTTTGGACATCTGCCGAATGAATGAAGACCGTGACCCACTAAAATTCATAGAGTCGAGACCTTTAGAAAAGCGCCCAAGAGGAAGGCCTAGATTTTAGTGGATGGAGTACATCTCCCAGACCGGGCAAAAAAGAGGTATGCAGATAAGGGATTCATGGATCGAGGCACCTCCATGCTGAAAAGCACAAAGGAGGTAGAAAAAGAAGAAGAAGAATCTTTTAATTACCGATAATCATATTTATCAATACTCGCTAACTGTGCTAGTACGATACAAACTCTTTCATATGTAATAAATAGATTCAATAAAACCACAATGTTAAGATTTTATAGAGAGAAATTTCATCAAAAGACTTAGTAATTTAATTTTCTAAGATATTATCTAATGTTTTTTTTTTCCAACATACCGACGCACAGTGGGACCGACTGCCAATTTAGGAAGACAAAAACAACTTTCAAATTATGGGAAATGTAATATATAATCCTTTTTATAGATAGTTGGTGACCTAAAAAATGGCCTAGTAAAATTTCAAAGTTCGTTTAAACTTTGCCCTATTTACAGTAGAGTACGAAAGAGGAAGGTTTGGGTGAGCAGGTATTCAGTCCCACTTGTTGACAAATGTTTCCTGTATTACTTTATTTATAGTCTAAATCAATGCTTGTGTGCGTTATTGCATAAGACTGCTTTTAATAATTCATTTAATTATCTTTATTTTTCATTGGATTAGGTTCAACCAGTTTGATGTTGCTTACAATTGAATTTAAAAAATGGCTTTGATCAATTCTTTCAATACATAAATAGGACTCATATAGTTTAAGACAGAGATGGACAAATACTACTCTGAGTAATGAGTACTAGGTATTTTACTCAAATACTGACCTTTTTTGTGTAACAAAGAATATAATTACTATTTTAATTGATGTCATACGATCAACTGAAGTAGTGATTGAATTCTCAATAGTGATTCGATTTGAGTAAAATACTTGGTACTCGGTACTCAAAGTAGCATTTGCCCATCTCTGGTCTAAGAAACATCCTTTCTGGTATCCCGCCACTACATTTGTTTTCATTTTGAAGCATTTTTCACATTCTTTCGAAAAATAACCGTCAAATTTTGCTCGGCTTTGCGCCAATCACATTTTTTTTTTTTAAATTCAAAATACGTAAAGTAAAATTATGGAATCAATTTTTTTTAATCTTATGAAAACGTTATGAACTATATAATAAAATGTATGCAGGTTTAAAAGACGTAGCCCTAAAACGTAGCCCTATTTACTTAAAAATTTAATGAATTTTGGAAAACTGCTCATAAAGTGATTCCATTTTTTTTTTTTAGAAGTAATGTGTCATAGCTGAAACATAATTTCTAGACCTGATAACAAATGCTTTTCGAGGTTTCGGAGGAACAGGGAGGCCGAATAATATTTTTTGTTTGCTTTGAAAAACTAATGAGCGAAAAGTAAAGTGTATAATATACTAGGGATGCCTAGAAGGAGCCTGCATGGCGCAAGTTGCGTTAACAAAATTTTGAGGGAGTACATTTTTACGGGGTTCTGGATTTTGGAAGAGTGGAAATATTTTTTGCTTCCTCGTTTCCGAAAGTAGGGAAGCATTGTATCCCTGCAAGAGGATAACAAAAATTTTGTGCTCAGAATCGAAAATTTTCACTCGCGTTTTACGTTTCAGGCATCAAAGATCAAATTTGGTTCGGTGTCTGTCGTCAAATCGATGTAACGGGCATATCACCTACTACCGTTTAGCCTATTTTCATGAAATTTTCAGGAACTGTGCGGATTGTTGTCTATATGGTTCCATATCAATTTTTTTTTTCTCGAAGACATTTACAACTGTATTAAATAAATACATCTAGTAAATTAGAACATAATGTATATAATGACATGAAAAACACTTGCTGAGTAACTACCCAATGGTAGCACTCTAATATATATCAATTTTATTAAATTTTAACTAGCACTTCCGCTTACGTACGTGCAAACGCATTTTTGTAGATATACCAATATTTATAACAGCTCGTTCGATTTGGCTCAAAGTTTGATGAAAGGTAGATATTTGTAAACAAATTATGTAGGGTCAATTTCATTGAATTCTGTCCATTGCTTTCTCCTATATATGAGCAAATGTGTTTTCATTGATACGTCTATGTCTCTAAAACCGCAAGTTCGATTTGGCTCAAATTTGGAGGGAATTTAGGGAATGGTAAACGTAAAATTAAATAGGCACCAATTTTATCAAATTCTATCTAATATTCCAAATAAAAACACTTTTGCTTTCAGATCAGGAAATGTATTATTTGATATGCCTATAGTTTGAAATCGGCGCATTCGATTTGATCCAAATTTGTTGGAAATTTGGTGGACATATATATAAATGACTTAATATCAATTTCATTTAATTCCATTCAATAATTAAAATTAATATAAATAATTATTAACACTATAATGGCTCTGATATGTGGAAGGCACCTAGCATATGGAGTGAGAGTTAGGTTGTTACAATAATGTCAGGTGGTTATAAAATTTTAGGTTTTATTCAAAAAGTTAATTTATACTGTAATGTTTAGTCGATTCCTAAAGTTACTGGCAAGACGCATATTGCCGTTACATAGATTTCGTGTAATTTTCAGTAAATTTAATGTAGTTTTTACTCTGAATTTGTAAAAAAAAAAAGTCTTATTTGTGATTGTATTTATTTCCATTGAAGTTCAATCAGCTCCTCGTGGTCTCGATTTTCTCCTTAAATATCAAAACTGTGTCCACTTCACTCATATTTTTATATTCTAGCTTAAATTAGTTTTGTTCTGACTGAAGAAAAGTATTGGTCTCCTTAACTCCTAACAAACAAAAAGTTTAATTTTTCCTATGGATTTTTTGTTCCATTCATCTTACGAGTGAAAACATACCCATTAAGTATATATCACTACTGTTAGTGCAAATGTCGTACGTAAAAGTTTTCAATTTTTATTCTATTTTTGAAATAATGTAGTTTGTAATTGGTATAAGTAATCTACTACTTTGAAAAATAGCAGAAGGCGATAAAATATAAAATTATATTAATAAATCATAAAGAAATAATTAGTTTTTATGCTCTTCTGTTAAACACCCAATTTTTACATACGTCATTTGCACTAGCAGTAGCGAGATACATATTCAGTATGCACTGAATTTTTTTTATTACGAATTACCAATATATGCAAACTGCAATGCGGAACTTTTTCACATTTTAGTATTTGCTGATAAACAAAACCCGTGGATATCAAGCTCGTATATGTTGAGGAATTACTGGATTCCGAAAACGGCTTCTTCCTGAGATTTTATTCTCACAAGAAAATTTTCAGACCTTTTAATATAGATATTTTTTAGCAAATCAAAACGATGAGGAAGCTATACTGACCTTACTTGGCAGTCTTTTTTTTTTTTTTTTCCAAGAATGCTTTTGGGCTGAAGCCTCCCCTTTCCCCAATTGGTAAAATGTACACTATGTTTCATGGAAAAAATATTAAAAACTATCTCTTAAAGTATTATTGTTCGTGTAATTACATATATTAGGACTTTAAGAATCTCTTAAACACCATTTCATATAGGTAGTTAATATCTTCGTTTTTTTTTCCAAAGCAATTATCATTATAAATAGGAAAAAAAATTAAATCCTAGATCCGCTTGTGGGGCTGTCTAAAGGGCCCTTTACAAGTTCAATATTATTGAAGCAGTATAATTGAAGGCAATATATTGAAGAGGCAGGGGTTTCATTCGAGAAAAAGGATTATTCCTCTGCCGTCTTTCTCGACATAGAGAAAGCTTTTGATAGTGTCTGGCACCACGGCCTATTATGGAAACTAAAACCGCACTTACCTTCCACTTATTTTATAATTCTTCAATCCTACTTTCTTAATAGATTTTTCTGTACTTCCGTAGATTCTTCTGTTTCTTCCATCTTTCCCCAACACAAAGGCGTACCACAAGGTAACGTCTTAAGCCCAATCCTCTATTCTGTATACACTTCTGATATCCCTGAGCACCCTAATACCACCATTTATTGCTTCGCTGACGACACTGCTATTCTAACTTCACACAAAAATCCTACTATCGCATCAATTGCCTTAAAAAACCATCTTCATGATCTTGAAATGTGGTTTGAGAACTGGAAAATAAAAATAAATACTAATAAATCCACCCACGTTAGTTTCTCTCTTAGAAAAGCCTCATGTCCACCCATAACGATTGCCAATAATCCAGTGCCTTCAAAGAACTATGTACGGTACCTTGGACTCTTCTTAGACAAAAGACTTACTTGGAACATACATACGAAATTAAAAAGACAAGAAATTACTAGACGATATAGCCCACTTTCACATCTTCTGGATTACAGATCTTCACTTAACTTACGAAACAAGCGACTGATCTACAACACCTTACTGAGACCAATATGGACATATGGAGCAGAACTTTGGGGTTCTGCAAAACAAACACACATAAACAAAATACAAACAGCGCAGTCAAAAATTTTACGAAAAATTGTTAACGCACCTTGGTACATTTCAAATTCTACTATACATAACGACTTAAACACCCCAACAGTAAAATCCTACATCCACGTCAAATACACTACATTTCATTCTTCAACCCAGAATCACTCCAATCCTCTCGTTCTTTCTATCTCCTGCTCCCTGTTACCTGAACAACGCAGATTATTAAGAAAATGGTCAAGAGACCTTACTACATCAATAAAAACCAAATCAAGAAAAAACACCAAGACTGTACAAACAAAACAAATTTGCTAGATGCGCAGCCGTGCAGGTGCAAATTGCATAAAATACAAATAAAAAAAAATTATTATTTTAATATGTTTTGTAACTTTTTTTATTTCTTAGAAGTGGTGAAAGCCCCTGAAGATCGGCCGGCACCTCTAATAGGCGCTCCTCCAAGTATGCGCCCCGAGGCAATTGCCCGCCGTCAGACCATTTTGTGTGACTTGATTATTTCGGAACTCAGAGGACCTCAAAAGGTGTATTTCCATTGAAATCTGAGATTCGAAAAATTTCACGATCGCTATGCTTTCCCTTACTACGTATTACATATATAGGTAACTGAAAGTAAAAATAATTCGGAGGGAGGTGTTAATCCCTCTCTCTCCAAAAAATAAAAAAATAAATTAAAACAAAGTACCACTCACCTGTCGAAATATGTATCAGTTTTATCTTTTAAAATATCACCCTTTACTCAAAAATATTGCCAGGAATTTGGTATCGCCCAGAGCTCCTCAAGATCCGTATATGTGGTTTAATATTGCTCAATATAGCCCTTACACGTAAAATTTGACACTGTTTCAATAATATTGAAGGAACTTCAATAAAAAAAATGAAACCAACCAGTTTGATTGACCTCAATATAATTGATGCACATATAGCCCTTACATGGTCAACATATTGACGAAACTTGATTTTGATTCAATATATAACAAGGGAACCTCTACCCTTCCCGAATTTTTTTTTTTAAAGATGTAATGGTAATATGTTTTAAATAATTAGGAAACAAGAACAGAACGAATTTGAAACAAGAAACGTTTTAATGTCAAAGAACAAAATAAACATCACAAAAACAATTTTTTTTTTTTTTCATGCTTAAGCTAAGGTAATTAAAGTAACAGGAAATTCATTATTATTAATTTCCACAAAAAAGAAAGATTGTCTCTTTTGAAAACTCCTTTTTTAGCGGAAGAATGATTTTAACTAATATAATATTGACTCAATATAATTGACCCGTGTGAGGTACTCCTTCAATATATTGCCTTGAACTATATTGCTCCGATAATATTGACCGTGTAAGAGGCTCTTTAAAGACTGTGATAGCCGAGCAAGTTGGGACGTGGGTTCGAATGTGACCATTTCAGAAGATTGTGGGTTAGATTCTTACTTAGGTCGATTAATATTTATTTCTGGGTGTCCTGGAGGAATGGATGTTGAAACTCGCTCTCTCAGGGACATCAAAGTAGGCCTCAGCAGTTGGAAAAATGTCTTACAATCTTCATTTACCGGACTAGTACCAGTATCTGCCTTGTGAAGTCAATCTGTGACCGATAGTTCTTGATTCAGTAATTTTTGTTTAACGCAAGTGCAAATGACTGACTGGCTCTCTTCAGCTTTCCACCGCAAGGTTCGGTAGCAGAACCCTACTATCCTGCCTTTACGTTTTTTTGTAACATTTGAACAAGTAGCATTATTGTTGGTTGATTGATTTCCAATGGTTACCTCACGTCTACACTCTTAATTTTATTCCTCCCTCTTTTTCTTGCCCTAAACTTAAGAAATATGAGAACACGCTATATTGTGGCCTTCTGAAGACTGCAAATACCACTTCGATGCGCTTTGATTTGATTGGGAAAAAATTCTAAAAGAAGTGAAAAAATAAATTCTGTTCTGGTTTTAACCCAGGGTCAACATTGTTTCAAGATTTCTTATGTTTTTTTTTTCATATCTAGATCTCTCTCCGCTTTAGTATGGAGAATTGTTATTTTATTAAAAGCTTTGGAGTATGTTTTTACCATCTCATTTTCTAGAGCATTAATTTTCTAGCTAAGATCTATCAATTTTAATCAATTTTTTTTTCATTGAGTAAAGTTTTATAGTAGTTTGTTTTAGAATTTTTTTACTCTGTTTTAAAAGCTGATTAAGCTTTTGTGCCCATGAAAGGATAAATCCACACTCCATAGTTTCACACTTCATAGAAAATTCCCATCTTAAGTAAGGTCACAAAACAATCACCAAAGAATACTGTCTAAATCTTCCCTCTGTCGCAAATGCGGCAGAGAGTCTGAAACACCAGCCCTGGGGCTATGACAATGCCCCTACCACTCCCTCCTCATGGCATACCGGCACCATAAATTCAATTGATGAGGCTCCTTAGAAAAAAAGAATTCACCTGCTTTGAAGAAGTATATTGCATCGACAGCGAAGGCTCTACAAGGAATGCTGACATAGTTGCATTTCCCAGAACAGGAGGGATGGCGCTGATCTTGAACCCTACTGTCCGCTTTGAGGGCAATGACCTCGATCAAGGAGGTGAAGTGGAAAGGGAAAAGAGGAACAACTATGATAAATGTATCCCTTTTCTGAAAGAGAAATTCCGCGAGACCTTCGAAGAGAGAGGGTTCACCGTGAGAGTCCTCTGGTTTTGGTCTCGCGGAACGATTCCAAAAAGAACAAGGAGCTTCCTCGAGGAACTAGGTGTTGATGTTGGGGAGCTTGCGATATTGGCCGAGAATATTACCCTGGACTCATTATGAATCATTAACCATCAATTATATAGTAATTTACCATAAATTGAGGATGTTTTTATTATTTATTTATTCTATTTTAAATTGATAGAATTGTTTTGTTTTGTCTTTTTGTCCATAGTTGTGGATATATGTGTGTACGATTTAGTGTTGCGATTCTTAGCATTCAATTTTTTATGAGTATGTTATGCAATGTTGATGGCACAGTGTAGTTTATTGGACTTGGTCTAGTTATTAGTTTATATTTTATATGACTATTATTATAACGAAGAAGGAAAGATATATATATATATATATATATATATATATATATGTAATAATAGAATAATGCAATGTATAAATTATGTCCAAGTGGGTTGATCAGTATGCTGTGTGTAAAGCAACCATATGTTGTAGGGCAGCACTACTTTCAATATAGTATTTCTCTCTCTTGGCAAACTTGGTTAATTCACCATCCCTTTGCTATTTATCGCAAACGAATTAAGTCCAATGTAATAAAAACTAGACTATAAACTAATAACTCACAATCTATAAAATTAAATTATTTATAAAATCCATACCCAAGAGAAAAATCTGGTGCGCTCAACACACAACTTTCACTTACAGCTCAAATTTGAATAGAAATTATTTTCTGGTAATGCTGGGCTATTATAAAATTTTAAAATTGCATTTTTAACCGAGCTAAAGCTAAAAAATTGCAGCTAAAAAATCATAAATACCATTAAAATAACAAAAGTCTTATTTATTATATGACCGGTTGATTATGAATTGTACGATCCGTTGATTATGAATTGTACGACTATTAGTTATTAAACTGTTATATTCCATTGCAAAGTTTACTAAAACGGTATTAAAAGATTTGCATTGTCTGTCATAGACAGGTCAAAAGTTGTCACACTAATTGTAAGTGGATACTGTTAGAATATCACCAAAGGAAATTTCATTACACTATTCACTAATATAAATTTTCTAAAGGATTAAATAATGATTTTTCGTTATAAACAGACGATAGATACCTATATATTTAAATATAATATCAGATCTAGAGTTATTAAACTACAGAAAATATATTTAAGCTAATAAACGTACCTATGAAATATTTTTATATTTCACTTCTTCCTTCACACAAGTACTATGAAATTAGTAGTGGATACTGTTGGAATATCACAAAGGGAAGATTCATCATATTTTAATGATAAAGATTAACAATAATTTAAAACTTATTTTATAATATATAAAAATGAGGAACTTCAAATAAATATTCATAAAAATAAGTATAAGTCAGAAACAAATAAATATAAGGTGCTTGTCCTATTCTAAATTTTAATTCACGAAAAATATAAAAATAAAATATTCTAAAATTGTAGAAGTATGAATGATTATGAGTGCTATTTTTAGGTTAAACAACATATGAAATTTAAAACAATGTGGTGAAAAGTAGTTCACTATATCTTCAGCTAACTGTAAACGACTCGTGTGTGATCGATGCCGTCCTTTTGCTAGAAAACAGAATCCAATTACATGTGATGTTTTAGTTTAGGCACTCCGTAACAATTTTTGTACATATGTCAGTTTATTTTTTTTACCAATTGTAAATCATGGAAGATATTTTACGTAAACTTATGTCAAATGACAGTGAATCCGTACGGGAGGTAATAGAAACGTGACTAGATTTTGAGCAATGTGTATTTTTGTGAATAAATTGATTATTTTTTTGTTTAAATTATTTTATAAGTTCTTTCCCATGCTAAAAAATTCTTGTTCTCAAATTACTGATCTTGTGACCGGTCATAGTATTAATTTTATAAAATTCTTATTAATGTTGTAATTTTTAAAGGGAACTGTACAACTCAAAGAAGAAGTTAACAATCCAGAATCAATAGGGATTTTATGTAAACTATTAAGTTTACACCAAGATGCAGACATCCGGCAGTTTGCAGCTGTAATCCTTAAGAAAAGATTTTCTAAAAAAAATAAATGGACTACAGTTGATCCTCAATTGAAAGCTGAGTATGTATTATTTATACTTACAGTATCTAATTATTCATAACTAAAAATGAATTAAATTTTGTCTTGAAAAACTGTAAACATTGAGAATCTTATATATTGAAGAAAAACCCTATTATATTGTTTTTTAACCCTCAGACGTTACAGTGGTTAGAGAAAAAAAAGAGATGGTGTATTCAGGTCAGGTCTGACCCTGTATTTTTTTAAAGGGTATTTTTGCTTAAATAACTCCCCAATAACATCTTAAATATTTTATAAAGTTTATTAATCTATTATTTCCAATCAACTATGCTGTTTATCTGCTAAGGAATCCCTTATGTATAATGTGACTGTTATGTCGAATACAGGCAATATTCAAATTGCAATTGAAAAAGTAGAATTCTTCTTTTATAATATTTCTTCTTGATATCTATGTTTTAACAACAATTGATTTAATTATCATTAATTCAAGAATATTTAATAATAAATCTCATTTGTTAAATCACGGATGATCGATAGATACAACAGCTCTCTGCGACTTAATTTAGCACATAATCGGAAAGATGAGCTGGAGGATGATGATGTCTCTGTGCAGTAGCTAGAGGTTGGTCATTACTGGTCCAGGAGCAGAAGTGGTGTCACTCTCCGATTTGCGTCACACCTGCATGAGATGGGTGTGGCATCGGTTCAGGAACCCCACAGGTTTTGCTTCTTGCTGGGGTTGCAGGCGTTGGTAAGCCAAGGAATGTAACTGTTTTGGAGGTATCACTTTTATCAGCAGCAGGTACAGTTTTTGGTTGCTTAAGAACGTGAATCTGACGCAGTTTGTCTACATGGCGTTTAAGTGTGTACCCTTCTCCATCTAAACTGATTAAGTAGTGCAACCTGCCAAATTTCTTAACTATCGTGCCAAACCTCCAAGAAAGTTCATTGTTCGCATACCATCTTGCGTGCACCCTGTCTCCTACCTGCAGCTGTCCATATAATATATATATGGAATAATCTGAACATGGGTGCTATATCCCAAGCGTTGCTCTACCATACGTGGTGGGGACAAGATCATCTCATGATCATACTTCTGATGGAATCTTGTATGTAGCTAAGTATGAATTAATGTAGTTAGAGGTAGCTGGTGACTGGGTACTGCTTAAAAAGTGTTGTTGCACTTAGATGGGTAGGCATAAAAAGATCTCATTGTCACACTATAATTTTTATTCCGAGAATGGCTGTGCATTTCTGAAAGTAGATGAAGCTGTCAGATCTGTCTAGTAAGACCCCGACCTCAACTGAAAGGTTGGGAGTTTGTGGAAGTTAATTCTGGGTCATTCTTGGAATTCCATTTATAGTGCGATCATGAGATCTTGGGTACCAGCACTTTTACATCAATGGAATCTATGAAATCAATCTGTCTATATTTAGCAACACTTTTGTGGTGTCTTCTAATAAGTTTCTTTTCTTATCTGAAAAGGACAACCTAACCTGTAAGGGGGTTTCTTTTTGTCTTTTGAACAAGTGTAACAAGTTCTAGTTTAAAGCAGTGATGTAGTTGAAGCTAATTAAGGCCTCGAATTTGACTGAAAAGACCAGTTGGGAGTTAAAGGACATCAACTTTTTCAATATCACTGTTTGGTAGACTTTCATTTTCGGATTCTAGTGCGTTCTTCCAATTCAGGATCACTATTCCTGGTCTGAAGCAACAATTTGACACATCTCAATTAAAATACCTTAGCAATTTTAATACCAGAATGGCTGTAAAGAAAAAAACAACAAAAAAATGGTAAATCCAGTTACTTTTATGGCACAATTTGAATGTAATTGGCCAGAAATGAAAGAGCTCTTGATAAATTTGAACTAGCAAGCTAAGGTGACATCTGATAATAGGAAATGCTCGAATAAGAAATAATATCAGAATTAAAGCTACAAGTTCAAGTTCTGAAATATCTTTCCTTATACGCCTTCTACTGCCTGTAAAACTTCATTTGCAATATTTCTTTTATTTTGTATGCTTTTGAAACTTTATTTTTGGAACATTAATAGGTTCAACTATGTTGTGGCCCTGTGCACGCTACAGATGGGGCTGTATCTTATTATCTGCTGTGTTGCTTGGCCAGCTCTTTTGATCCCCTGCTTTCGGCCTTGTCCATCTGAATCTTTTCCATCATCTTCATGGTCCTGTATTCATAGTGGGCAGCCTCTGCCCATTGTGAAGTGTCTGGGTTTTATCCTATCGAGATCTCGTACTGTTGCCCTGACGAAGGCATAAACTTTAGCTGAAATCTCGGCACATATAATAAGTTTCGCCTATTTTAACTCTGATCACACTCCCAATCAACTTTTCCATTTGGCTTAATTATTTGTCTTTAAAATTATTAATGTTAGAATAAGTTATTTATTTTTAATTATATAAATAATAAAATATAAATTTAAATAATTTGACGTTGATTACAGGATTAAAGCTGGACTTTTGCAAACATTTATCAATGAACCTGAAAAAAATGTTAAGAATTGTATTGCATATCTGATTGGTGTGATTTTGAAGCATGATTATCCAGAATGGCAAGAACTTATGAGTTTTCTTCAGCAAGCTATGACTAGTGAAAACACCAATGATAGAGAAGTAATAATTTCGAATTTTTTATTAAATTTATCCTACTGTAACTTATCCTGTACTGGTGACTAATGAAAAAACTATGCTACATCAATTTTATCGAGTTCCATCTCACTTATTTTTCATGGGCAATAATATTTTCCTGTATTTTAAAAAATGGCTAGTTCAATGTAGCTGAAAATCTATAAAATGTTGTCTACTTCTGTTGCTCAGGTGTCCATTGTTCTTTAACAAAGCTATGATTAAAAAATGGCTTCTTCTGTATATTTTATTCTCAAACGAAAAATTATTGACCTTGAAATATAGACAATTATGTAACTAATGGAAATGTTGACTATGCTTTACTATCTATCTATTTTTGGTAGACTTTTTCTTTTTTAAATTGAAATATTCTATTCAGTTTTTGAATAAAATTACAATGCTAATGAAGTGTATGTGTATATCCGTATCCATAATTTTATTATAGTAGTTTCCATTACATGCAGAGAAATAATTGATAAAAATGTAGCCTATATGTTAAATAGCAATGTAACTAAAAATGGAAATTTTCTAAAACATGTCAAAATAAATAATAAAAACAGTAACTTTGTTTTTCCTTATTTACTTAACCAGCTTAGTCAATTTGTATTAATTAAAAATAGGTCTACCTTGCAATAGATCGGTAATTTGATTGTTGTTATGAGCACAGTGAGAATGAAAAATTCAGGTTTAGGCTACTTAAAATTAACTAGGCCATCCTTGCCAATATTTCTTTATTTGGCTAGAAATTTCATAAAAATTAGTTTGCCAGCAAAGCTGAACTTTAAACAAAACAAAGTGGAAAGAAATATTAGAGATTCCACAGGAAGCGTCTACCTCCAAATCTTTTTAGAAAAGAAGTTACCTTATTTCCATTTGGCGACTAGCTACTTTTATCTCCAAAACTATAATATATAGGTATAGCTGTGGACCTAGTATGTATACTTTATCATATAACAGTTGTGTCCTGTTACCATTCATATTTATGTTCAGAGCTAATGAGCATCAGAAAAAAGTAATGAAACTGGTTATTAAAGAAAGTACAAACTCTACAGAGCTCTAAAAAGTTATGGTAGTATAGCCAACCACTAATAAAATTATAATTCTATTTTGTATTTTTTATCTATGTCTGCCCTTAATACATTTTCTTACTCTCATATTATACAAACTTTACAATTTTGTGAATTGTGAACATTGTTATCTTAATCTTTATTTTTAGTATAATATGTCATAATACAGCATTTTAAAACTTCTTATTGCACATAATTGTTTGCAGCTGGGCTACTATATGCTCTCCATTCTCACTGAGACTTGTCCTGACGAAATGCAAGCCCATGCTCCATCTTTCTGTACTCACTTTTCTACAGCTTTATCAAATATGACAGACAAAGCATCACCAATTGGATATTTTATGATGATTTGCCTGACACACATGTGTCCATCATTATCTTCCAGTAAACAGGTAAATTGATATAGAATAGGTGCTAGATGAATAAAGGTCAAAAGTTTTAAGTATAAGTTAAAGCTTTATGCCGTGGAATTTGCTTGTTTTATTATCGAATGTACATATATTGTTTGCAAAACCCAAATAATGTAAATTATATTTTTAAGTATCTGTAATTGCTTATAATCTTGAATGTTATTCCAATTTCCATTTTTTTTCAAATGGTGTAATAATGTTTTTAAGGCCTGCCATCTTTTAATGTTTTCTCACAATTCTCTTTCTGTTTTGCTGATATAATAAGATGTTGCCATGATTTCTCTTAACGCCAACATACCATCTTGTATATACCTTGTAAAATGATTCTATGTTTAAAAAAATTTTATTATAAGTTGTCTCTTTTTATCTGTAGTTGATGAATATCTATAATGAGATAATTCCGAAGACGTATGAAGTTATTCAAGCATTAGCTGAAAAGAGACCTGATCGAGCTTGTGAAGCACTGGATCTTTATTATGAATTAACTTCTGAAAAAGAGAGCCTTTCTTTGATAACACCAAGAATTAAGGCAATTATAAATCTTTGTTTAGACCTCACTCAAAAGTCAAAAAGTGAAGACCTGCAAATTAAAGCCCTGAATTTTATTGCAACTTTTTCTATGGTTAAAGCCAAGGTAAGCTTTTCTTTGGTATGATTTTTGTTTATTATTTAAAAATAGCCCAGTTTATGATACGTTACATCGTTGTATTTCAGCTTTTGTTTAAAGATGGATTAATGAATACCATTCTTTCTGTTCTATTTGCTATAATGAAAGCTCCTCCTCTTGATGATGAAGATGAACAATATTTTAGTGCTGATACAAGTGAAGATACCCTCCTAACTTGTGCTTGTGAGACTTTAGATGTGATAGCTATAAATGCTGACCCAAAGAAGGTTATGGTGCCAATTGTAAGTACAAATGATTAATAAACTTATTTTAGTTAAAGAGCAGAGTCAAAAATTTATGACTTATTTGAAGAATACTTTTAGTCATACATCGTAATAATGTCCATCCTCAGCATTCAATTGAATTAGTCTGTCATATCAAATTTTATTTAATCCAATTTAAGAAAAGTAAATTTTGTTCTGAGACATTTAGTCTCCTATGAATAATGATAATGAACCATAGAAATGTCTAGCATAAAAGGACAAGAATTAATTAAATTACTCAGTTATGTAACCATAGCCATTTCGCTGTTGTGAGTGACGAGCTGTATGTCTACCATGGTGCTAAGTAAGGCGGCTACCTCCCTACCGGTCTGTGCTACATAATTTTTACCTGCTTTCCACCCTTCATTGCCAGCTCTTACTACTATCTGTTAACCTCATTTTATTGTTTCCATTCTCCTTTTTGATTCGGGTTGTGAACCATTACTGGAGGAGTTAAAATTCTTTTTTTTATATGTTTAAATATTTATTTCATAATTTAATTTTGTTTGGTATTCTTCAAAGCATTTGTCAATACAAAGAGAAACCTTATAATTTCGACATTCTACCTTGGTTTTGTGTTGACTATTTTGTTTGTATTATATTTCTTTCAGCAGTAGTAATGAATTCAACAGTTTCCGCAGCAGTAAACCACCATTTCTCTATTTTAAAGAGAGAAAAAAAAAAGACAACTTTCAACTAAAACAATTAATTCTATAAGACCACGTAACTAACTAAACTATTCCAATTTGATCTAATTTCTAACTAAAATAACTGGACTAAACTAAATGAAATTTATATAAACTGAGAGCAGTTGAACACACAGTTATTATACACAGAATGCAAAAACAAGAATGAAAATGGCCAAGACAGCCAGAGAAAGGCTGTAGTCGCCCATAATTAGAGAAGTAATTCTGCTGGTGGAGCAGTGACATGTCACAGAATTTCGGTTTAAAACAATGACAAGCTGTTCCACTCCCTTGGACCTTATAGGTCCAGTGACAGTGACAAAAGTCTTTTTATCCATTCCCTTACTTAATGAATATATTATATTAAATTCCCACAAAAACAGTTTTGAGGATATGAAATTTGCTATGTTTGAAGAGATATGTGAAAGAATGTGTACACTTTAAAGATTTAAAATAGAATGATAACCCGAGTACAGAAGATTAGCTCTTGAATAAAGATGGCTTAGTTCTGGAATAAAGTGTTGCCAGATGCACCACGTAGATAACAAAAATTCTTTAGATAACAATATTTTTATGAAACTCACATTTTAATAGATTAATTAAAGTGTTTATTCTTTTAGTTTTACTATTAAATGATTATCAAAGATTGATTTATATTTTAGATGGAAATGGTCCGACCTGCCCTTCAAAGCTCTGTACCATATGATAGAAAAGGGGCCTATCTTGTAATGGCTATAGTTTGTCAAGGATGTGACAATTATGTGAGAAATAACATGTTAGAAGATTTTGTTTCTACAGTTTACAAAGGTGTCAATGATCCAAGTTCTGTTGTCAGAAACGCAGCTCTCTTTGCAATGGGACAAATGGCTGAACATTTGCAGGTGAATAAGTTGAACCTCTTTATAACCTCTTGAATATTTCTATGTATATAATATGTTCTGTTTTAATTGTTTTCCCTTTTTCTTTTGTTGATTTTCAAATTAAAAGCTTTGGATCAATGAATATTTCCATTTTTTGTAATTTTTAAATAACTTTACTTTATTTCAGCCTGAAATATGTAAACACTCATCAGATATATTGCCTTTGCTCATTAATCAATTGGACCGTCTTGGTGAAGAGGGTAAGAACGGTGCCAGAATGGGTCAGCGTGTTGATCGTCTCTTCTATGCTATAGAGAGCTTTTCAGAAATTCTTGAAACATCTCTGACTGGTTTCCTTAATGAATTAATTCCAAGACTCCTTGTTCTATCTGTACCTCCTTATCATCCACATGTCAGGGAACTTGCAATGGCCAATATTGGAACTGCCGGTAATTACTATGATTATAACTTTGTGATTAATTTTCATAATCTAAAATACATTTTGAAATTTTACATTAGTTTTGGTCCTTGAAGATGAGATGAACTAAATTATTAGCCTAGTGAAGCACTGCTAAGACTGTTTTTAACTGTAATGGACTCAAATACTAATTTCATTTGAAAGATATTGGGTTGAGGAAAAATTAATTTAGTTTTTTTTCATATTTTTCAAAGCGAATTTCTTTATATAAATTGTCAGCTCTAACCAATGATATATGTGCAGTTTTGATTGATGACCTTTTGCCACATTTCTGGTAAAACCATAAGTCTATCACTGTAGAAGTTCTGAGATTTCTCGACAAAATACTGAACCATGTGATTTTCACAATCCTCTTTTGATGCCAGGTTTACATCATTAAGAGAGTTCTGCGGATACCGAAACTAATGGTAGTCAGATAGGGGACAATGTCTGGGCTATACGGTGGATGCATCAAAACTTCCCATCCTTCTTTACATCTTTGCTGGGTCATTAAACAGGTGTGTGGTCTTGTGTTCCTGCGGTGGAAACACTTGTCCGATCAATTCTGGCCACTTTTCTTACATCATCTGCTTCAGTCATACTAATTGTTCACACTAGAGAGTTGGATTAATGGTTTGACCAGGTTCAAGTAGCTCATGATGAACAATTTCTTTCCTATCCTCCCAAACACTCAGCATCAACTTCCTTGGCATCAATCCAGGCTTTGCCACTGTTTGTGAAGCTTCTCCGGGCTCTGACCACAATATTTTCACATATTATTGTCCTACATGATCTAGATAGATTTCATCACCTATAATTATTTATTTAAAAAATGGCTTGATTTTGTTTTGTTTCAGCAGTGATTCAGAAACTTGGTCTATTAAATTTTTTACTGTTAATTCATGAACCCAAGTATCGAGCTGCTTTTTGTATCCAATCTTATGTAAATTGTTCAAAACTGTTTTCTGATCTATGTTTTGTTCCATAGGGATGTTGCGAAATGAAATATGTCGGTATACCTTGGTTTTTTAAAGAATTTCATTTAAGTTTCTCTTCATGTTGTACATGTCAAGTTACTTATTTCATATTTACTAGTTGTATTTATCATTATAAAGTTGTAAATTTCAATAATAATAAAAAAAAAAATCTTTAACATCAAAATTTTTGGAACGAAAATGAGGAAACCAATTCTGATACTGGCGTTTGTTTAAGCACTCATCACCATAAATATCATACAATTTTCAATGAACCTGCGCTGCATTTTTTCCTTTTCGGTAGAAAAACTGCAAAATATGACAAAAATGACCTCTGTAACCTCCATGTTTAAAGCTCAATAACTATGGACTGAGTGAATGAATGATGCTATTTTAAGACACAAAATGATCTATGGACTATGACCTTCTAAACACTATATAGAATGGCTTCATTGATTAAGTTTACAAAACATATGAGACTTTAAAGTCATGTATTGAGATAACATGAAATTACTTTTTCCTCAACCCAATATTTTCCTTCTTTAATTGGTGTAGTTTTATTATATTATAATTTCTTCAGTATTCTTATTAGTCGTCCTCCAATGCTGTATAAAAACAGCTTTTCTCAGTGCATGTTTTGGTTAATTGAATTGAAAGCTTTCTTTAGACTAATATACACTGCAAATAAGTAGCTAACTTCAGTTCTGGAACTTTGTCTTTGGTCATTACGTTTTCTACCACTCCTGATCTGAAATATGGCTCTCCGACTAAGTTCATGATTCTTCTAGCTAGGGTTATGTAAAATTACTTAGTCATAGTATTTAACAGTAAAATACCTGTAGTTTTCTTTATTATTTATTTTTTCTATTGCCTTTCTTGAATTAGAGATGAAGACTTGGATCATAGTGGAAGTGGAAGATTTCCTTTATTTATTACTACATTGAAAAGCTTCATAGTATAGTGTTCCCTCCCTGGAGTAAGATTTATAAATATTTCATTGGAGAACTGAGTGAAAGTTCTAAGTGAAACTCCTAGCTGAACACACCTCCCAGAAGAAGACCTGCAAAGTCGAATCGAAACGTTGGCTTTTAATAAAAATAGTTTTACCACTATTTAGCCTATTTATGATCGCCACCCCAGACCATCTCCTTCCATTACTGATATTTTGCATGTTCTCAAATTCACTTTTTATATCCTATTATAATATAAAGTTATTCAAATTTATTTTACATTTCACTGTTAGTGGTTTCTTATTGTGAATTTTTAATTTGTATTGATTATTCAGATTAAGTTCTTTTGTTTAATCAATATTTTTTACTGATGTACTTTTGGTTGTCTGTTTGTTACTGATGTTAATGCTTTTGGTGGTTGTCATTGATAAAAATGTTATATTTATGTTTTTTATATTTTATTTTAGCTGGCTCGGTTGAAGAAGCTATTGCTCCATACTTCAGAGATATTATGAATGTTCTGAACGTTTATCTTTCTTCTCCTTCAGATTCCGATATCACGTCTTTAAAAGTAGAAGCCATTGGTATGATAATACAATTTATTTTATGTTAATTGTTTTTTATTACTTATAATTGAATGTTAAACCCAAGTAATATAAATTTAAAATAAATCATAACTTGAGACTAATTGTAATTTTAATTTAAATGGGTGTATATATTATTTTTACATATGGTTGGTTTTAAATTTTTATTTGTTCATTTAAGTACAATATTTTTGAAGATTTATTTTAGTTCTGTCATATTTAGTTTAATCATTTATGTATTATTTTAGTACTAATAATCATTTTACTTTATCAGTTGTTATTTTTAATTATTTATGTATCCTTTTATCAATTATCTTATTTATTAATAAGGCTAATTATTTTTGATGTCATATATTATTTAATCATAGATTATGTTTTAGATTAAATTTTTAAGTTCTATTTTTTATATTATTTCAGATACTTTGAGTATGCTAGCTAGACATGTTGGGCCAAATGAATTCCAGCCTCTAGCTCTTGATTCAATCAAGTTAGGTATTCAGCTCGTGGCTGAAACTGATGATCCTGATATCCGTAAATCAACATATGGCCTATTTGGTTCTGTTTCTCATGTCCTAAAAGGAGAAATGGGACCTCTTCTTGAGAGTATTGTTCTTCCTATTATTAATACTATCAAAGACCAGCAAGCCTATGTAGTAAGTTTTTTCACTTTCAATTAGCTATTTTTTCATGTATTTGATCAGTGAAGCGAATATTGTTTAAAATGTGAAACCTTTTAAACTTATATCAGCATTTTATGTCAAGAATATGACTTAGAGATTGTTCAAGATGAATATTCTGTTAGTGGATTAATAATTCACTGTTGTAGATACATAGAAGAGAAGTTGGTCGGAGTGTACATTCAAACAAACCAACTGAGTCAACTTTGACTGACACCCCAAGCAACTTCTCTTCCAAATATTCTGTTATTTTTCTTTATCTCTTGTTGATGTTTTGATTGATATTTCACAATATATCTGTTATTAAATTTCATCTTGAGGACAAAAATATATTTAATTATATAGAATGCAGTTTACTTTAAAATAAAATAATATTTTAATGCTATATATAAATTAAAATTTAATATAAAATTCCCATGCTATATATTTCATATATAGGTAAGTTAAAGTAAAAATTAATTTAAAGTGTCAAATTGTCATTAGTTCATCTTTTCAGATCTCTATCAGATCTTTGGTTGCAAATTTTTCAGCATTAGATGCATTACTAATTTTTTTCATTAATTTATCTTTCATATCTGGATGAGTGCATATAGTGTGTCCTAATATGCCATTCGTTCACCGTGATGATCACATTTGAATATTTGTATTATATAGCTCTCATCGATTTATTTACTCTCATTATTAATTAATCTTAGGTCTAATGAGTTTGACCATTATAATTTTTCTAAAAACTTTTATTGTTTTAAAGAAATTATTATACACTAATTTTTAACTTCACAATTTGCAAAGACATCTGTGAATGTGATGCGTATTTTTATTGTTTCTCATTTCCACATTTTGGAGGAGTTGTTTGAGAAATATAGTAAGTTCTTGTTGCCCTTCAAATTTCAGTAATTATAGAGCCATGCCATATGTCCCTATCTGCTGCTTAATCTGTTTTAATTTTTTGGATGCCAAATTCTATCAAATTTTTTACTTTCACTTATCCATATATGTAACATATATATCTCAGTTTTGAACATAAATAAATGTTTTAAGGTCGTCCCCTGAGTCCAAATAACTAAGCCACACAAAATGGTCTCTGAGTGTATGTGAATAGTCTAACTCAAAAATAAAAAGTCATACAAAACTGATAATACGTATTTAAGATTTGTATTCGGCTGGGATGTTACAGCAACTTTATCCTGATAATCAGCTAACCGGAAGTGCTACTTTATAACATTAATTTTACACATTTTGACAATTTCCTTTAAAATGATTCTAATGATTATGATTAAATTCACTATTTCAATTTATAATTAAATGGACTTTAATAGCAGGCAGTCCTTATTTTCATTGATGTCAGTTAACTGGACTTAAATGCTTAATTTTTGAAATATTTCCGCGTAAGTGCCTCTGATTGTGTTGGAAAGCTAAGTAATTTTGTAATAATAATATATATATATATATATATATATATATATATATAACAGACATAGTCATAGAAGGTAATGGATAGTGACAAAAAAATTATAAATAATAATTTATGAAAACTAATATTATTTAATGAAAGCCGAATGTTTCCATGGAAGTTAAATGAAATTTCTTAACTAGATGTAAACTTTTAATTTTTTTAAGTTAAAAAAAATTATATATAATATACTGAATCAAGACAATAACATTGTTTAAAAAACTATTTTATTGTACTTATCTGAAAGAAGAAGTGAAATATAAAAATATTTCATGGATGAGTAAAACCTATGTTTGTAACCTTAAATACATGTACTGTAGATGAATAACTTTAGATCCGATATTATATTTAAATAATTAGATATATATTGTCAATTTATTCCAAAAGATCATTATGTAACATTGAAAATTAAATTAGTGAGTAATTTGATGAATTTATCCTCCATGAAATCACAACATTATCTACTTACAATAAACACATTGTAACTGCAACATTGGTTCCTGGCGTCCTACAGCTTTATATCAGATATAGTTTAGATGTAGTAAATAGGTTTTGTGTTATTTTAATGGTCGTAAATAGTTTTTGCTGGTTAGTTGTAAGTTAAAGGTTTAGCTCCATTAAAAATGTACTTCAAAAATTTAATAATAGCCCTGCTTTGTCGGAAAATAATTTCTATTCAACTTAGAGTAGTGAGTGAAAGTTGTTTGATGCATGCACCATATTTTTTAATAAACAAAGTGCTAATGTAAAAATCTGAATTTGTAGATCAAACATAAATACAATGTTTCACTAGGTTTGAAAGAAAGATCTTGATTTAAAAAAATTATTGATTGATATGGTGTAGAATTACCTGTTTGTTAGCATGAAGATGCCTTAATGTTAGGTTTATTAAGAAAATTTGTCATTTGTCATCATATACATTGACTACACTCACTAAAAATAATTGATTTCTTATTTAGTTATTTTATTTCTTATAAATATTCTGTTGTTTTTTTGTTTGATAAGTAAGTCAATTATGATTATGTTAACCTAAAATTATAAATTAATATGCACAGCATGCTTTATATATGCAGTTTAAAATTTGAGTTTATAGTTTTTTAATGTTTTAGGTTCATAAAAGAGATGATGCAATGGCAGCCTTTCCTTTGTATGACAGTGATTCTGAAGACAAAAATGAAGATTTTGATGGTATAATATCTGTATTAGATCATTCTAGTTCTAAAAAAATTATTTAAATTCACATTTCTTGGTTATATCTAGATATTTTCTCCCTCTTTAACTAATGTTTAATATTTTGCTTTCAAATTAAACTATACTGTTGGAAATAATTAAAGCACTGCTTTAAAATTTGAACATCTCAGTACAAAATTTCATTTTGTAAAATAGTTAATTATGGTTTAAATTTAGATGATGGTTAAAAGGGAGAATCAAAATTAAGGATGTTATAAATATTGATACAGTATCTATTAAATCGACACATTATCAAATAATTATATTGATTTGATACAATTCCACAATTGTACACTATTCCCCACTTACCTCTAGCTGTAAGCCAATCGAATGAGCCATTCTTGAAATTTAGGACATACATTTGCTCATCCTTGAAAGTCAAAGTAGTGGATGGAATTAACAAGACTTGGCCCTTTTACGGCGCTGTGCACTTCCGTTCTGTCCTTGTAACCCCTTAAATTGGATTAATGTCAATCATAAGATAAATTAGTGATCTATTGTTAAATATTACATTGTTTTGCAAGCTCTAGTTAGTTAGACCTACTCAAAGAAATAGGTGAAGACACATTGCCAACTAAATTAAAATGCTGAGATTTTTATTTTCCTATTTTGGCTCTTTTTTAGTTATATCACTAGTCATTTTTTTTCCACTTATTTAGAACTGTTACAAAGTTGCCAAATAGATATGATTTAACAAGTTATTACAATTGTACTAATGAGGTTATAACCTGAATCATAAACATATTGTTTCTTGAGAGTGTAAAATTAAAAAAAATAATAATAAAAATTAAATAACATTCTTAATAATAAAGTGTGGGATAAGAAGAAGCATGCTTGTCTCATATCTTCGTGAGTTTGTTTCGAGAAGTAGATTTGAAGGTCTAGATTTATTGGATAAAATATTTCAAGCAATAAGAAACTTATGGCCTCCTGAAGATGAATATTGTTAAGTATTTAGAATATTTGTTATTCTCAAATTTGACCTATTTTGTGTTCGTATATTGTTTAATATTAATTTTCATTAAAACATTTACTCTTTTATGGCATATGATTTCTAAATATTAGCTCTCATTGTACTAAATGAACTTTTACTGTAACGGACTGGTGATGATTAAGCAAAAAAGACTTCCCATTTTTTCAAAAATCTTTACATTTTATTACTCCCTGAGTCTGAAAAATGCATTTTTGGCACAGGACACAAATTGGCCTGTACCTATCCAAGTGTGGAATTTTTACCCACTTAACCACCTCCATTCACCTGTTTATTTTCTTTTAAGAGACTTGTTAACCATAACTCCATTAAAGGGAATGGTTATGTGCCGTCTCATAGCTCTATCTCCTATTAATTGTTGTTAGACACTATTTACTTTCCCTGTTAAGGGCTTAAGATATCTCCTACTCCTTTCTCATCCTCAATTTCTTCTGGACAACTATGGAAAATTTCTTAACCTCTTTCCAATGTTATTCTATTCTCAACAAAAGGCTCACCAGATTTTCAGGATTGATATTCACTCCACACCGATTCTCCAATTCTTTTCTTTCCTCGATTAAGTATAAAGTGTTTAGAAAAATGAAACATGTAAAGAACATGTGTTCTACCATTTCTTCAATTGCTACGCTGAGCCTTCCTCGGTTTTTTCCTATTTGAACCGATATTAATAGGCTCTAAAACTCCCCTAAGTCCAGTCAACTTCCCTTACCCAATAAGAGAAAAATGTATTTTTTTTTCTGCCAAAACTGTTCTAATGATTTTAATAAAACTTTTCTTTTGTTTGCTACTTTTCCTAACAAAAGCAGGGAGAAAAAAGGTACTGGAGAAAAGAAAATTTTTTGGTGGGATAGATCATTTAAATTGTTTTTCGAATATGGAAGTGTATAAGAAAATACATTTAGACTTGTGTGATCGAAAATAATGGCTGGAGTTGGATGAAATTAATATTTGACCATCTGCATACCAACTTCTACAATCTGTGAAAATTTCATGAAACTTAGTTAAGGATAAAGTAAAAACTGATTTCCTATACATTGACAGACATGGAACCAAATTTGTCCCTTGATAAATTTAATAAATAAATGTAAAACATCATTTTTTAAAACTTCCTGCTTGAATAAAAACCTCCTCCATCTTGGTTGTGAGGAATGAAAAAATAAGGAAGAAAAATTTCAAATAAATGAAATTATTAAAAAGGAAGTGGATGGATCTCATTGTTAAACTTGATTTAATAAAACATAAAGTCAGCTATATTTTCAATCATTAAGAAAGAAAAGAATTAAATTATAACTTAATACTTTTTCACTTTGAAATAATTATACTTCAAATAAAATTTCAAGCTAAATGCTTAGATTGAGTAACATTGTTAATTATTTTTTTCTTATTTTCTCAGATATCAGTATAGAAAATGATTATGTTGAAGAAAAAGAAGAAGCTTGTTTCGCATTGAAGAAAATTGCTGAAAATACAGGGTAAGTCTGAATTTACTCTTACCCTAAAACATAAGTAACCTGATAAATTATTACAACAAACAAATAATAGCTGTATCTTCGGGTGTTCTCATTAGCAAAATTTTTTTACTATAAAGCAATGTTATACTTTTGATTTATTTAAGTTGAGCATTATTAGTTGAGGGTGAATGGAGCCTAGTACTCAAAGAAATTAAAGAGATGATAGGATGAAAGTTTGAACCAACTGGAATTCACAAAATGTTACCCACAAGCAGTCTCACTCACGGACATTTCATACCCTGCTTGTTCTATCGACAGTTGGCCACAAACTAATAATTATTTTTTTAAAAAACATGTGTTTTCATATATTAGATCTAATTGATCAATAAATTATATGAAACATTATGAAGTTTGTTTCTTCTTGTGATACAAATAAAAGAAAAATATATTATTTTATAAATAAACACATAATTAAATAATACGCACATGGGAAATAGAATAACTTATTAATTTAAAGAAAAATAAAATATAATGTAACACCATGTGCATAACCTTTTGGAAAGAACGTAAATTCTTGACTGCAACATAAGAGCTTACATGAAGAAAATTTGATATGAAGAGATAAAGCATTAATTTATTTTCATCACATTTATAAATATGGTGTCATATTTAAATACACATTTATATTTTTTTTCTGTTTGTCACTGTGGGCTATGCAAATCTTTGATCACACTATTAGGTCTTCTTACAGAGAGCAGTGATAACTTGGATGGGGTCACCCAACCTCACATTGCTACGGACTATGGTATTTATGGTGCAGCGCTAGGGTATCCACAATTCCCTAACCAATCCCTTTAGCATATATGCCATGGAATATGGCTGTTCAGAATCTTTCTATTTTCTTCTATTCACTGTTGTAAATAATTGCCTTCAATAGACTGAAGGTCTTCACATATCCAAGGAGGGATGTTAATCATTGAGATCGTCTTGGGCTGCTTGGTTTTCTCTGGTGTTTTTTTTTTTTTTTTGTCTCCACTTCCTTGCCTTTTAGACTACATGGGTTTTTTCCAGTCCAAAGCAGAGGGCGGGGGAATTTTACGGCAGGGGTTATCCTATAATCAGTTAAAAGATCCTGAGAGTGAAGTTTATTGTAAAGTTTATTAATTTAAACCCTATTCCTCCTTTCTGCAAGATGACTCATTACTTTCTCCCACTGTCTCTATATCTATGTTAATTACTTCCAGAAGCCATTCTTCATCTATATTTTCACTACTTAATAATTAAAAATTTTGAAATTGTTGTCCACAGTTTCTTTTATCCAATTTTTCTTCTAGTTGTAGGGATGAATAGTTCAAATCCTTGATTTCGTAAAATTATTTTAAGTATCTGTTACTGTTAGTGTGAACAAGATTTTTTTATAGGAAGAGAAGGCAAGTTTGTGTTATTAAGGATTTTGAGTTATTGAGATTCAAGTTATTAAGAATTTGCTGTATTATTTTACTATTTTGTTATTTTCTTCTAATATTTATGAAACAAGATATGCAATTTGGGATTATGAAACATATACCTACATATTATATGGTTTTCAAATTACACATTAAATTTATGTTAGTATTTTTATTTTTTCAGTGTCAGTTTTGCTCCTTTCCTGGAGTCCAGCATGGAAGAAGTTTATAAACTTTTAAATTTTCCTAGTCTTGATGTGAGAAAAGCTGCTTTAGAAGCAGAAGCTCAGTTTTGTATCAGTTTTACCAACATCATGCTGAACGCCTCTCATGGTTAGTTTTTAGTTTTATTTAATATGTTTAGTTTGCTGAAGGCTATATCAATCTATGTGTCATATCAATCAATATATACTAATATATAAAACTGAAGAGTTTATTTGTTGTTTAAATACACTAATTTCAGTAACTTCAATCTGATTTGGGAAATTGTTTTATTTGATAGATTGTGTATTGAGGAAATGTTCTAGACTTTGTAACATCATCTAACAGGTGCATAGGAATGGAACAGGAATTATAAAGGTCAATCAATCTGGAAACATTACTGTCAATTATACTAGTACAGCATCATGTAATATCGTTTGCAGTCAATTTCAATATCAATAAAGGGCAGGGACAAACTTTTACGCATATTGGAGAAGACTATTTTTCCAAACAAACATATGTTTTGTAGTGCCCAACTAATGACTAGTTTTTATACCATTTTGGACCAACTGGTTTTCTAGACATTTGGAATTTGGAATAATGAGACTCTGCTGAACAAAAATTTAATTTAGACTATTTGACTATCCTTAAAAAATGTTTATAATGTATACTGACAGGCAAAAAATTCCACCCACTTGATTTTTTCACCTAAAAATATTTCTGCTTTGGATTGGTCTATTGTTTTTAATGAATAAATAGGTAATCTTTTTGTTTGTTTTCAATTAGGAATGTTAATATTGAGGACAATAACCCTTAATCCTTAATTCAATGAAATGATTCTAGATTCCAATGTTTACTTTCTACGGAATCAAAATGTTTATTCAGTATCATTAGTTTAGTGCCGTTTCTTGCAGCACATTTCTTAGTCTCCGGCTTTTAATTTTTTCAGTATTAAGTTTAAAAATACCTCTTAGTGCTGGGGATGTTGCGTGTGGTGTGGCTCTTATTGATGATGGACGTTCCATTAGATATGCAGCTAATGCCATCGGAGTTCCATATGAAACTTTACGAGATGCCGTCAGGCGTTTTCAGGAAACTGGTTCTAACAATAGAAGGCCCGGTTCTGGACGGCCTAGGGTAACGGAACCACGGGATGACCGGTTTTTGACTTTGAGAATTTTACAAAACCGGCACCTTACCGTTGTTCAAGCAATTCATCAGCTCGAAGAAGTTTGAGGTGTGCAAATTTCTGATCGTACCGCTCGGAGAAGATTAAATGAGTATGGATTAATCGCTTTTCGTCCAGTAAGAGGACCAGAGTTGACAAGAACTCACAGAGTAACACGGCTGGCTTTTGCTCGAGAACACAGCCATTGGACTATGGACGAATGGAGTGCTGTACTTTTTACAGATGAGTCAAGATTCGCTCTTCTATCTCCAGACGGGCATGAAAGGGTGTGGAGAAGAAGAAACGACTAAAGATATGCAGTCTGTAATTTTTCCCAGAGCCAACCTTTCCAACATGGTTTCTTAATGGTGTGGGCTGGGATTTCAATGGAGCGCCATACAGAATTGGTTGTTGTTCATGGAGGGTCTTTGACGGCTATTCGCTATGTAGATGAGATTTTGGAACCTCATGTGTTGCCTATCCTCAACAAAATCGGCGATCGTTCTATTCTAATGCACAATAATGCATGCCCACATGTCTCCCACATAGTGCAGACGTTCATTCAACAGAACTATTGAGGTTTTAGCCTGGCCAACATACACTGCAGGACCTTGAAAGGGCTCTTCGGGAGGAATGAGCTATCCTCCAGCAAAGGAACATTTCCCGACTGGTGGAAAGTTTGCCGAGATGTCTTCATGAAGTAGTGAAGGCAAGAGGCTCTAATCTTTCTTACCCAATCACATTTTGATTATTAAAGGTAAAAAAGATTATAAAATTCCATAAATACTAACTATTATCTACAAATTACCATGTATTATATACAAATACAACTTTTTTTACATGTGGGTGAAATATTTTTAGATGAAAACATGAAAAAATCAAGTGGGTGGAATTTCTTGCTTGTCAGTGTATGTACAGTGTACATGAAATTGTGTTTTGAAATGTGCTTAATGCATTATTTGAATGTTTTTAATACAAGTTGTTTGCTAAATTAATGACTAAGTATAGTCATCATTATAATTTGACAAAGATATGAATTTCCTTGTGATAAACTTATTCAAAATCACAACCTTGTTGAAACTGCCTCATACTCATTCAGAATTGAATTGTTTTCTGTTTTGATATAAATGAACAGTTACATGAAAGATAGTTGAATGACTTGTCTCAGGAACTTGATAAAACAGCCTGAAGCTCATTCTGGAATTTTAAAGTTATCTCATAATTTTCTCTGAAAATACGTTCTGTGCTATTGTTAATTGTATTGCTAAAAACAAATCACAGAAATAGGTTTGAGTATGTAAAATTTGAAATTAGTGAGTGTAAAAGTCTCCAATATTTTCCGCACCTTATTGGCTCTGATAATGAGTCTAGTAATTTAAAAATAAATCTTAATTCTTAAACATTATTAAATTCTCAATTTTTTATTATTGAAGAGTAAATTGAAAAAACAAATCTTTGTTTTCAGGAGACAACATCCTAGTCATAACTATAATGGAAAAAATTATTGGAAAAACAATTGAACTCATAAAGAAAGATCTTGAACGTGAGGTAGTTCTAGTTGGCCTGGAGTGCTTACAAACACTTCTAAAGGAAATAGGACCACAAATTGGAAGTATTGAACATATTAAAAAAGCTATAATCGATGTGCTGAAGGATGTTTTGAATTCCAAGGTATTTTTTTTACATAGAAGTATTAAATATATTTTCACTCGTTGATTAAATTTCAAGTATTTTGTAAGCAGTTTTTTCACTAATTTTTACAAATTATTATTTCTTCTTTTATTGATATATACAATGCTTTTTACTCATATAAATTTTTTATTTTCATAACTATTGCATTTCAGACCGAGTCTCATTTGATGGTTGGAGCCGGTGATGATGAAGCAACTGAAAGTGAAGTAATGGATGCTGCTTGTGATGTAGTTCCTCTCCTTTCAAAGGCAATGTCGCAACCAGAATTTTCACAATTATTTGCTGAGTTCCTTCCTCTTCTAAGGAATAGGATCGTATGTCTCCTTTTGCTTACCTTACATATCGCAAGACATTTATGATATTTGAGTATTTAAAAACTGTTTTTTTTTTAAAGCTCAGTTTTAAGAAGTTTTACTTATTTTAGGTACAAAATCAGAACGAAGTTGAGTCAGATGAAGATGATGAAGATGAAATGGAGGGGACTAGAGCCAACACTATTGGTGTTATTGCAGAATGTATGTCTGGTCTTGGAGAGAATGTTAGTGGTTATGTAAATTCTCTGCTTCCATATCTTTTAGGATTAACAAAAGACCCTGATGCAAATGTTAGAAACAATTCTCTCTATACCATTGGTGAAATGGCTCTCCATGGCAAACAACATATTTATCAGTATCCTTTTTAATAAGCATATTTTTTTTTAAGCTTAGAATATGTATATTAACTAATAGAAAATTTAATTGTTCATAGATTCCTTATTCCATATTTCAAAAACCTGACACTGTAGTAAACCATCGTTATAGAAAATAGCACTTACTTTCATAGATCTACCTAGTTTTAAATTAATTTTTTTTGTAAACCTTTATTACTTCCTCATCAGTCCAATCAATTTAGCCAACATATGAGAAAAAAATCCCGAAGTTTTGAAACTAGGCATACATGCTCCTTTGAGTGTTCTGTTTAACATACTAAGCAGTTACCGATGATGGTGATTGAGTGCGAGGGTGACGTGTCATTTAAAGGTCATTTCTCTTAAATATTTCTATAAATATTGAATTAACAAAAAATATTCCCTATATAAAATTAAACTAGGATAAATTTTCTTAACAAAAGATTCCATTTGTCTTTTTTTCTATTGATTTAGTTTTCAAGATAAAATCCAGGAAAATTTTTAAAACGTTAAAAAATCTGTTTTCTTACCAATTTTCCTCCAAACTTTAAGAAGATGTCAGTAGCTGTTGACATTGCTCTTAATTGCAGTACTAACAAATTGATATCCTCACTAATTGTATATTGTAGGAGAGCTTCAGTATATCAACAAAGTATTGGGGTCATATCACTTTAGATGATAATTTAAAAAAAAAAAAATTTAAAAACACCGTCTTTTAATCTATTTTTGAGAACTTGCTTTCTAGCCCCCAATTATATTTTAAGCACCATTTATTATGGGTATGGAAAAGATACTAAGAAAAGGGAGAAGTGACCATCGAAAATCTGGTATGAAATGTGTTAATGTCAAATCAAAAGATCCCACATTGACGGTCTTTTGCTGGATGAGAAGAAATTTGATTCGTGATATTTTTTAAAGAAAATGTTTTTCAGGAATGCAATATGAAAAGTGTACTTAGTGAATTTTGTGTTTGAATAATTGTATAAATAAAGTAAAAAAACAAAACAAAACATTGTTTTTAAACTTCTCTTTTATCTCCCCTACAGTATATAAGGCACTAAGTTGAAACTAGAATATACATAAATAAAAAGAGTACAAGATTATTTTTTAATATATATAAGTTTGTTAATAATTTTGCATGGAATATTTGATGTATAGTGAAAAAACCAAACGTGTTTTAAGTTAGTGCCGCATTAGTTAGCCCTAAGGCTGCCAACTAACTAAGATCAAACTATAATCATTTTTAAATTATTTCCATTTGTTTTCCTTAATTTAATTTTTAGACATTACCCAACAATCTTAAATGCTTTATCGCAAGTTTTAGCATCCGAGAACAAACCAAAAGTATTGGATAATGCTTGTGGTGTGCTGGCAAGGCTTATTCTGACGAATGCTCAAGGCATTCCGTTACAGCAGGTAATTTATATTGCTGTATTTTATTTTTAAAAAAATGTTTATTTTGCAAGATTAAATAATTAATTTTGAATTTCTTAATTTAATTCAATTTTATTAATGACTAATGACTATTTTATTATTAAATAAAGCAATACATGTTATAAAGAATAGAATTCCAAAACTAGCCAACAATTATTTTTAATTAATAGTTTTGTTATTATATTTTCATAAGATAAAAAAAAATTATAACAGTTTTACCTAAGATTATCATTTAACAGTTGTAAAGAAATTCTTTTATCTAATAATTATACAGTGGCAAACCTATCAATTAAAAATAAATACATTGAATTGAAATTGACGAGGTTCTGGATGTCTCATGTGATAATACTACTATGTAAAATTATCTTAACATTAACATGTGACCTTTTGCAGTTATAGTCCTCGTTGTTTTTTTTACTCCTTCATTGTTCAATGTAGAGACATTTCTTTAAAATTTCCTGATAAAAAATTTATATCTCTTGATCTAATTTCACAAAATGAATTTTTTTAGGTTTTTCGTGCCTTTGTAGCTCAATTACCCTTAAAAGAAGATTTTTCAGAAGATGTTTGGGTAATGAAAGCTATTTGTCATGTGATACAAAATGCTCCTGATGTTGCTAGATCTGAAGTTTATCTTATTCTTCAGGCAGCTGGTTTTACACTCCAGTCACATGCCCCAGATAATGGTAATTTTAATCAGTATATGTAATCAATAACCATCATATGATCATTTAATTTGTCTGCTAAATTTTTTTTCTTGGGAATTTAAAACCATATAATCCTTTTAGGGATTAATTTTTTGTGTCTCCAAAAAAGTAGATTCAAATATATCATATATAAAATGTGTTTTTAGAAAATAGAAACTAAAAACATCATAATTTAATAAAATATATGTTCTGGAATTAAACCAAACAAATTGTTATGTTTATTTTAGTTATTTTTGTAAGTGAAGGGAAATGTTCATATAGGCATTAAAAGCTACTAAAAAGTTTATATCATGGTCCGATTTTCTACTGAATAGCAAACAAATTTTTTTTTTAAGTAAATCACATTTTGTTTTCGATAGGTAACGATAACTAAATAAATATTAAACAATCACTTCATAGTAAACTTGATAAAATTTACTTCAGATGCAAGGAGAATTATCTTTGTTAAAACCATTTAATTGCGGACTTTTAACTGGCTAAACCTTGGCTAAGTTTTATTTTTTGTAAAATCATAGATTATTTGTGATTTTTTTATTACCCTCCAACTGGACTACAGATATTCCACTTTTAGAAAAAAAAATGTGTTTAATAAGCTTAAAATTCATATTAATTAACTTGAGAATTGGTGCAGAATAAATTGAAATTCATCCCTGCTTGAGTAAAAATCTAGTGCGGTGGGTGTATTCATCATACACCTTTTGCTTACCATCCTTCTTTTAACAGAAATAGGTACTTTCTCACAAAGAGAAGAGAAAGTAAAAATCTCAGATGGCACAAGATATTTTTTGAAACAATCATACTTGAAACATATGGTAATCCATATGTTTTGGTCAGTCATCTAATGTATTATACTTATGTTTTTTTTACTTTCGCTGACGTATATATGTAATATATAGTGAGGTAAGTATTGCGATCGTGAACATTTTTGAATCTGAGTTTTCAACTGAAATACACTTTTTGGAGTACCCTGAGTCCAAATAACCAAGTCCCAAAAAATGGTCGGTGTGTCTGTGTGTGTATATGTCGGTGTCTCTGTGTAGCGAAAGTATTTTTTCTAAGAGAAGTGGATGGAATTTGATAAAATTGATATGGGACCATCTAGGCACCAATCCGCATTATCCCTGAAAATTTCATGAAAATCGGATGAACAGTACTAGGTGATATGTCCGTCACATCGATTTGACTACAGACAGACAGATAGACACTGGACCAAATTTGATCCTTGATGTCTGAAATGTAAAATGCGAGGGTAAATTTTCGATTCTGAGCAGAACGGTTTTTTTAACTAACCTCTTGCACGAACACAATGCTTCCCTACCTTTGGTTGTGAGGAAGCAATAATTGAAGCAATCAGTAGGTTTATTTATTTTAAACATAAATGTTAGTGAGAAACATTAGTTTTGTCACTGGTAAATACAGAGCAATTCCTATGCAGAGGTCTGGATGATAAACCACAGTTCCATAACCACTTTACTTTTAAATTGTTATTTTTACTTTTATAAATAAAATGGGTTTTTAGGCAATTATGTTTATTATAATACATCCCATATCATGGAAAAACAAGAAATAAAAGGTTTGTAACAGTTATTTAGTCATTTTTGCTGAAAACACAGGTACTTTTATGTTACTTCATAGAAAATCACATCATTTCTTTACACAACTTGAGGTTAATCTCAAAATGTTTCATAATAAACCTCAGCTTAATTAATATGGACTTAAAGCTAATTAAATGAAGAAGTTTTTCTATAAGTGGGGTAAACGTGTAGTACAGTTAAAGGGTGATAAAAACGGAACTTAGCTGTGTTTGTCCGCTCTATAGCTCTCTTTAAATAGTTTTAACAATGAAAAAGTTTAAAATTTACTTCAAATTATAATTATATGAAATATAATATAAATAAGAACACCATTTAGAACCTGTTGAAAAATTGATGAGACAAACAACTCGTGCAATAAAAGTTTTAAGCGCCTTGTGTTTCAATGATTTACTGAATTTGGTTATTTAAATTAAACAATGATGTTGACAAAATATGACGCAAATGCTTAAATAATTTGTATAAATAATGAATTATTCCTAAGTGTTGTAATTCGATATTAACTACTTTAATTAATTAGGAATCATGATATTTGTAAATAATTTTTTTATTAGTTACATTTATAAAAATTCGATTAATAATTAAGTTATTATCATTGTGTTTTCAGAATGCAAAGAAGTGCTTTTGAATACATTCAGGGTTATATTCGCTCAGCTTCCTCAGGAATGTCAACTTGTTTTATCACAGCTTCCTCCAAAATTGATTGAAACTCTTCGTGAAATTGGAGTCACATCAAATTAAGAATGTTCTTCACTGCTCATCATCATTATCATCATATTAAACTAAATTGTAATGTTATGAATATAGTTAATTTAATTTGTTATGTTTATTTAAGAAAATAGAAAAAGAAAAAAATATCTAAGTGAATTTTCATGACTCACTATGTTCTTAAAAAGGTTCTACAAAAGATTGGTGATAGCAGCATTTTTAAAATTTATTTATTATACCTGTTATAGTTCTATACTGGTGTTAATTGTTTACTTTTTGTTAAGAATGTGGTAATGTAAAAATGGTGTATAATAATGTTTCGTATTTTATAACAGTCTGACTTTTCTTTTAATTTTTATATGCTCGGAATTTGTTTTCGTTTTGGTTTCTTTATTCTCCTCTTAAATTAATTTGTTTAATTTTCAATTAAATTGGAACTAGTCAAAGTTTGATTTTTGCACTAAATAATTCATTTGACATTGTCTTCCTATTTTATTGTAGTTATGCTTTTATTTTATTTTTTTGTTTTGTTTTTATACGTATTTTGATGTTCAGAAGACTTTTTCTGACGTGTTAGAAACATACTTTATAAATTAAATAAATATATATTGTTTCTAATGAAAAGTATATTTATTCTTATTATTTTTTTATATACCTATTATGAAAGTTTTTTAAAAATGAACTATTTTTGCTTTCCTCATTTGTATTTTGTTAGTTTGTAATTATTATTTAACAATTATGCAAAACAATAACAGATAGGCTAATATTAAATCATTATAGGGTTGTCTGGATTTGAAGGAACTCTAACAATAATATATGAGAAACAAAATTTCTGCTGCACATCGTGGAAAAATAATCTAGTTCAAGGAAAAAAGGCAAATGTTTGAATACCCATTAATAACTCTCGGGTTAGATGGAGTATAGGTGTCATCAACAATTCTTGAAATCTGTCAGGAGCAGACAAGCCTTTTGGATTCCTTATCAAAAAATATATAACCCCAAAATATGCACTTCATAGAAGATAGTCCACTACATGAAAGCTGTTTTCAAAATTTAGGAATCAAAAGAAAGCTCTAAAACCTGTGAGTTATCATCACAAATACATGAAAAATTATTGAATTTCTTAAGAACCACAATCTATTCAACAAAAGGACACTAACTAATGACCTAAGATTTTAAGTGGTGATAGCAAAATATCACCTAACCTCAAATGTCCTGGTCTTGTCTCTTCTTGTTAATTGTAAAAATATATCCTAAGAGTGAGGATGTCTAGCATCCTTGAATTCCTTTAAAATCAGGGATTATGGTAGAACTTTTCGTGTTGGAAAAAAAAAACTTTGAATTATGCTTGAAAAAACAGTTGGTTGTTGGAATATCTTAAATTTTGTTGTATGATTACCAAGGCCCAGATTTTTATGCTGTAAAAACCCAACAAAATATGTCATATAATATGCAGTAAAAACCTCTGAAATATGCAGTAAAAAAAACAACATGAAAATGCAGTAAAAAAAATTACTTGAAAATGCAGTAACTGGTCTCTAAATATACCAAACTTATTAATTACTTGATTGCTAATATATCAATAACGTATTTAAGTATAATGACATACCTAAAAAAAGTTTTGAAACAAAAATAAATTATGGAGGGGTTAAAAATTACAATAATTTCAGTTTTATTTATTTTTTTTTTAATATCTCAACTAAAAAATGAAAATAACTAAACATATATAGGTTATATATATATTATAATAGTTCCAAAAACATAACATGAATCATTAAAACAATTTAAATATCGAAATAGTATTTGTATATATATACTTTACATATACAAACGAAAAAAACAGTAATTGTATTAACACATAATTAAATGAGCATAGTAATAAAATATAACAAATATAAAACAGTAAATATGTAAACACTTTAAAGTTTGTATGATAATGTATTAAGGGTTCCAAGATTTAATTTTTTTGAGGAGGGAGCTTCTTTTTTTTTATACACGTGTTATGAAAATTACTTGAGAAAGAAATTAACTACCTATATGCAATGGTGTTTAAGCGATTCCTGAAGTATTGTTAAATGTAATTACACGAACAATAATACTTTTAAAATTTTTTTCATATGACATGATTATATTTTACCATTTTGAAGAGGGGCGGGGGAGTGAGGGAACTTCAGCCCGAAAGTCCCTCTCCGTAGATCCGCCTGTGTGTTAATGGATGAAAATCTAATATGAGTCTTTGTTGAGACAATAACTGAATTAACCTGATAAATAAATAACGAATTAAACTTTTGAATTAGTCTGCTTTGCAGACATGTTCTGTATTAAGATTAATAATCAGAAACATTTGTAAATTTGTTTCTGTAAAACCTAACCCTAGACATAGGGGCAAATCCACTTAAAATTACTGGGTTGATGACAAATGTCGCTGGGAACAATTGAATCTTTGCCATTTAAAATTTTATTAATACCTTCCAGAATTGTGAGACCTGAATTTTTTATAGAAGCGTCTTCCATTTTTTCATTTAAAGTTTCACATACTTGGACTGGTATTACTGGTTTTCCATCAGTTGTAAAAACTATTTCATGTCTGTTGTTCTAAGATTCAATCCAAGATTTCAACATTGATGAAAATGAAGATTCTTTTGCGTTTTAAATAAACAGAAACATGAGCTCTTGCTAAAAACGTAGGCAGCAAACTAAAACAGAAACTTAGTATATGATATTCATGTGGGACAAGAAGGGGAAATAGATTTCCCAGAATTGGAGAATAGTTATAAAGATAATTAATTATTAAAGGGCATAGCTGAAGGTAGGTATAGTCTATGAATGTGGTAGATTTTGTTCATTGAAAATAAACCTACGATTATAATCTTGGATTGCATCTTCCATATTATATTTTAATTTGTATATATTAATAAATAAATATTAATTTATATATATATATATGGGGCTGGGGTAGCCATACGGGCTAAGGCGCTTGCAATAGGTAATCAAAATTAAGCAACGTCGAGCGTGGTTAGTACTTGGGTGACCGCCCAAAATGGAAAGCTATGCTGCTCGAGTCTCTCCCCTCCCCCAGGTATGTGAGACCCTGCAGCCTACCGGAGACAACTCACACCGACCGGACGTAGGACTGATGACCCTACCCCGTGTACTTAAATCGGGAATCGGGATGTGGTTTACCAGGATGTTAATAGACCCCCTGAGGTTCGGTCCATGGACGGTCTGTTTTGGGGAAAGAAATATAGGTCCTCGTGCGCCTGCTGACTCGGAGCAGCCATAATCCATGGATCTAGACCGATTTTTCACTGTCCTTGAACCCGAGAGAGTCGGCGGGAAGGACATTGCCAGATTGGCCCCATAGGGATCGGCTTTGGAGCTACGAGTGGCCTGCCGCTGCACCATGGAAACCATGGTTCGTAGCAACTTGAGGTTGGGTGACCCCCTCCAGGCTATCTGAGCTCCCGCAAGTATCACACGTCTGTAAGGAGACCACATCCCACGGCCAAAGATGTTCATGGTTTGTAGTGCCAACCGAAAAAAAAAAAGAAAAAAAAAAAATATATATATTTATATATACACTGTTTATTTCCTTAAATTAATCAAAATATCCAGTTATATTTATCTTCAAGTAAGCAATTATATGCCTTTATTCTCCAATATGCAAAATAAAATTTGACTAATTGCATCACAGTGTACTAATTGCTGTAGATATTTTATCAGCTGTTAAAAAAATAATGCATACAAACATTTACATTTTTGCTTCCTCACTACCAAAGATAGGAAAGCTGTATTCATGCCAGAGGTTAAAAAAAAATTTGTATTCAGAATCGAAAATTTCCACTGGTGTTTTATGTTTCAGACATTAAGGATCAAATCTGGTTCTGTGTTAGGTCTATGTAGTCAAATCGATGTAACGGGCATATCACTTACAACCATTTATCCGATTTTCATGATTTTTTCGAAGAGTGTGCGGGTTGGTGCCTAGATGGTCCGGTATCAATTTTATCAAAGTCCATGCAGCACTTTCGCTTACGCACACGCAAACGTATTCTTGTATTTTAGAAATCGCTGGTTCGATTTGGCCCAGAGGTGGTTAATAAGTATATATTGGTAAAAAAATAGTGTAGTATCAATTTTATTGAATTCCGTCGTCTACTTGCTCTTATATATATCCGCAAACATGTTTTTCTTGACACCTCTGTATCTCTAAAACTGCAAATTCTATTTGTCTCAAATTCGGTGTGAAGTTATGGATTGGTAAATAGATAATCAATTATGTACGAATTTTATCTAATTCTATCTGCTACTTCCAAAAAAAATCCTTCAGTTTTCAGATTAGGAAATGCATAATTTGAAGCGGCTATAGTTTGAAAACTGCGCGTTCGACTTGGAAGAAATTTATAGAGTAGTATAGAAATTACCTAGTATCAATGTCACTGAATTTCATTTAATAATTACAATTAATATAAACAATTGTTAACAATATAATGGCTGTGAGATGTGAAAGGCATTGATCATTAGGAGAGGGAGTTAGGTTAATACAATATTTATTTGGGGTTATCAAATTTTAGGTTTTAATCAAAAAGTTTATTGATACCAAAAAAATGTATTGATAAAAAAAAAGTATTCTTTGGCTGATTCCAAATCTTATTTGTGATTCGGTATATTTCTATTGAAGTTCAACTAGCTCGTCGTTGTCTTGATTTTCTCCTTCAATATCAAAATTATGTGTACTTCACGCGTATTTTTAGATTTCTGCTTAATTAGTTTTGTTCTGACTGGAGAAAAATATTGGTCTCGTTAACTCCGTACAATAAGTTGAATTTTTTCTTTCGATTTATCGTTCCATCCATTTTACAAGTAAAAACATACCTATTAAATATATATCACTACTGTTAGTGCAAAAGGTCGTATTTAAATGCGGAACTCTTTCGCATTTTAGTATTCGCTGATGTGCAAAAGTCGTGGATATCAAACCCGTAGATGTTGAGGGATTACTAAATTTCTGAAAACGACTTCCTCCAGGGATTTAATTCTCATACGAAAAATTTTAGACCTTGTGTTGGGGCCAGGGTTATTTCAAAATGAAATACAAATCTTTCCCCGGTGAGCTTCCTCAAATATGTGGAAAAAATGAGTAAAATTAAACGATAGAAAAGAAGGAAAAAAAACAAAAAAACAATGAGACATGTAAAAAAGAAAAAATACATGCAAATCACAAAATATTAAATAAATCAAAATGGAAAATAATAAACAATTACTCTTTCGAATGTTTACAGAGTTGTATTAAATAAAGATGATATATATACAAAAGTTGAAGAAGTTAATATATAGAAGTAGGAGTAATAAGATTATAATAAGAGTATAGAAATTCACTGACATAAAATCAAAATATAATATTTAGTGAAAATAAAAAATTGTCCATTCAAAAATAAAACATTAATTATACAAATAACTTCTAAAATTAAAATCAATAACAAGAGAAAAGTAAATGAAGAGAAAAAGTTATAAAAAACGATCTAAGTTGGAGC